GACGGCCATGCAGTACCTAAAATAATTTTCAAACTCCGTACCAAAAAAAAGACTATGAATTATTTTAAACGCACAATGCTTACTCTATGACGCGAGTCACGAACCGAGAAACTTACTTGGTATTTTGAACGAGATTATGAAACTATAAAACTTTCGTCGAGTATTGAAAATAGGAGTACGTAAAATAAAATGTGGCGCCTCAGAACCTGAAAACTTAAAATAACAGTGTCAAAAACGTGCTAGGTGCGCAGCTTTTTAGCCCCTTGCTGTACCCTCCCTCGCTACGCATTCTCCCCACGACCTCGCTGCACGTTGCAGTGTTCTCCCTACCGGGATTTTTTTTTAATTTTATTTTTTTGTTTTGTTTCTGTGGTGGCTAACCGCAACACGGTGCCAATCATGAAAAAAAATAGTCCATGCGGCAACGAAGTAATTATTTTCTCGAGAAAAATCCTGTGTGCTGTTAATCAGTGCGTTCATGTGAAATAGGCCACGTTTCCGTCGGCAGTTTCAACCGAATATGACCCAGTGACGCCCCAACAATGAAATAAAACCGATTCAAAAGACTTAGTTTTATTCTTAATTTTGTTTTGAATGTGTGTATGTCTTTTTTTTTTCGTGTGTGTGTGTGTGTGTGTGTGTTCCTCCTTGTTTCTGTGCGGCAACGCAGCATAATAACGCTGCCGGGTCGGGATGTCGGGACGTTTATGGCGAACGGGACTGCATCGCAACTTTGTCGGGCCGGTGCTGCGGAGCGGTGCGGAGCGAGCGGCAAACGGCGAGGCAGTAAGAAAGGCACGGCCAAAGGCACGGCCAGGCCACGCTTGTCTAGTGGCTCGTCGACGCGAATGTCGTCCTTCCCTTTCTTTACCGTCTGCCTTTAATTGGCTGAGCGATAGCGAAGCCCTTGCCGTGTTTGGGCGCGCTGAAAAGTGACTGGTCGTGCGTCTGTCTGTCTGTCTGTCTGTGACTTTGTACTCACCAACGATTCTCAGCAACTACAGTGGCTATAGTTTCAAGATTTCGTATTTAACGTCGCCTTAGTACCCCCCAACACGAGTTTGTTTCAAATCGTTGTTTAGTATCGTTTGAAATATTCAAAACATACTTTTGAATCAGGTTATTAGCATGGTTAGGTTGGCAGCACTCAGCACTCACGAATTTCTCATACCTGCGGCCGCGGCTCTCAAATACGGGACAGAAGCAAATAAGCAAATAAACCAAAATAACGAGCAGAAGGGTTTGGAAATGAGATCGGCCATAGTTTTTCCACATTCTAGAATGATAAAACCCTTTTAGAGTATCAACACAGCGAAATATGGAGAATGGCAGTGAAAATGATTTACGTGTTTCGTTCCCCTCGCCCCCCCTCCCCCTTTCGAGGGGAATCTTCTTCAGGTCAGTGCACTTTGACAGAGCAGTGTAAAAAGAATGTTTTTATTTTGACCTTTTGTATTGTGGGCATTACTTGTTTCATTTTCTATAGTGTCATCCTCTTTTTTTAAATTTTCATAGTAGAGGAAATCAGGGAAATGCATAAATAACTTGTGTTGAAATTAGCAGGCATACTTAGTTTGGACTCGAGAAATACATTCTATTGCAATGCTGCAAGCTGACAAGAGTGCAAAAGTACTAACATGTGTTTATTAATAGAATCAATGTATGGTTGTGTATATTTAATCCTAATAGAGTTTGAATTGATATTGGGTTCAAAGAGACGACTCAGGTTTTGAGCGGTGAGTGAATTAGTGAATGGATTTAATGAGACGATTCCTTTCACTTCACTGAAGTTAATATAACTGGTACTACTCAGTATTGCATACCTGAGTAAGATAAATTGTGTCGGTTCATTAACCCTTTGGGTAGCCTTGGCATTGGACTCTATATGACGAATCACTGGATTTGACAATAATTGGTCCCCGTTAACTGGTTCAGATCAGCCTACCCTAAACTGACTCTCTTAATATTAACTGTGATAACGTATGCCAATCAATATTGTTTTATTCACTGGTTCACAATGAAAGAATGACAAAATGTTTCATAGATATTACTTATAAAATTGAGAATTCATTAGTTAAGAAAAAAGAGATATCGAATAGTGACCCAATCATACGAGTAACCAATTAAGCGATTCAATGCTGGCAATTGAATGTTACTCGACTGAGGGATTCACATTGGTGTGGCATCAGGGAATTGGTGATGACAGAGGGTGCTTCATGAAGACAGTGTAGGAATGTACAGAAATTGAGTCTAGATAGTTGTTTGTAGATTTCAGTGTACTAGTCACAAAAGCTACATTTATTTCAATGCCAAACCTACACTTTCACCTAGAGCTACGCAATTTGGGGCAAACTTTCTAATTTGAGAGTCATGCGTTTCCCTGCAGTTTTCAGTGCGCTGACTTCAATATTGACTTCTAAATTTTCCCCAGACCCAAAATTTAACCGATTTTGGGTCAAATTTTTTAAATTGAATTGCACATTGATTCTTGCAGTTTTTTGAGTGCTGATAGCAAAAATCACTTCCATTTTGACATCAGACTTATATTTTCATCCGAAACGAGGTCATTTTGGACCAAAATTTTCAAGTCGAGTCTTATATTGTTTCCTGCAGTTTTTGGTGTGCTGAACTCAAAAATGACTTCCAAAATTTTCCCAGACTCACACTTACCCGAATTTTGACCAATTTTGGACCAAAATTTTTAAATCGAGTTTGACATTGATCCCAGCAGTTTTTGGTGTGCTGATAACGAAAATCACTCTCATTTCGACTCCAGACTTATATTTTCATCCCAAATTAGGTCATTTTGGACCAAAATTTTCAAGTCGAGTTTTATATTGTTTCCTGCAGTTTTTGGTGTGCTGAACTCAAAAATGACCTTCAAACTTTTCCCAGACTCACATTTAACGAATTTTAACCAATTTTGGACCAAAATTTTTAAATCGAGTTTGGCATTGATCCCAGCAGTTTTTGGTGTTCTGATAACGAAAATCACTTCCATTTGTACCCCTGGTCTAAAGTTCACTCAATATGAGTCCTTAAGATGCACATTTCGTCTTCTCAAGCAAAGTCCAAAGTGCACAAACCATGTCAATTCGCATCGCTCAGCCACACTACGCGCCCAGACTAAACGGCGCGTACCCCTAGTATTCCCAGCGCCGGCAAAAATTTCGTCGCTCCCTTTGGCAGTGTCGTCCGTGGCGCTGCTCGCTCCACTGACGAATTATTTTTGAGGGCGCGCACGCTGTAAGGAGGAAGGCGACACGGCAAGCTCATGGTAGAGGGCAGCACCGGGATACGCGCCACGATTTAGCCAGGGGAGCCCCTAGGAGTCTGCCAATTTCGCCCATAACTTCTTTGTCATGCAAGATAGACCCGTAGTGTAAGCGAGCCGATTGTAGGCAACGCTGCTAGCTTCCCAATAAGCTAGTTTTCATACATGTGCGATAATTGCAGTGAGAGCTATAAGTCAAAAACAGCATCCGTGCCGGCTGCCGCCTGGCTGCTAGTGGCGTATATCCCAGTGGCGCCCCTAGCGGCGAACGTCTGCAGTCGCCTTCCCTAGTAACGACTGGGATACGAGGGCAGCCCTGCTGCGAAAGTTTGGTGAGGTGAGGTTGGCGACGCGGGCCCACACTGTCTCACCTTCCCCGGCGCGGCGAGCGAAACACCGTGTCAACCACCGCTCCCCCACCCCTTTCCACCCCTCGCATTCTTAACACGTTGCAGGCCGTAGTTTTGCCGCGGAAAGCTGCTAGTGGCTGGAAAAGAGGGGTCGTGGACCTCTGGCCTTCCAGGCCTTCTCGGCGTCGCAATGAAATGTTTCTCTTCGAAATGTCTCTACTAGTGCTAGTGCGTGCCCCTCGCCGGTGTTTTGTTTTTCTTGTTTTGTTTTTGTTTATGTTTGTTGTTACACTCTTGACGTCTTAAAGTGAAGATTCCCCATATTATGGTGAAAATTCTCTTCATTATGGTGGTAGCTTATTTTGTAACTTACCTTTGGAAATTCATTGTACTCTATTGTATATTCTCTTTTGTCCAACGGTCCAATTACTTTTGTGTAATGGAGAAAATCTCCATGTTGGTGCAGCGTGAAGCCTTTTCACCGTGAGACACTTACAGTGCACTCGGCACGCACCGAGGACAGTGTCCTCAGCCAGGACGCGGCGCCGCCCGTGTTCCTTAAATCCGGTTATTCCCCCTCAAGCGCGCCCGTCAATCAGCACAACAGCCCCGCGGCGCCCGCGCCACTACACTGCAGCGCGGCCGAACGCGACAAGAAAGGCTCCCAGAAAAAAGGTTGTCACTTCGAATCTCCATAGTCGCTAAATGGGACTCGAACCGAACGTGTGACCCCTCCAAGGGATTGCTCTCCGAACGAGGAATCCATTGGTGGGGTCGGGGTCACACGTTCGGTTCGAGTCCTGTGTCGCGACTCTGGAGCTCAGAACGCGTCTAGAGTTTTGGCCGCCTGCACCCGTCTCTCTGTCTGCCTGCGGCAGCCTACAGTGGACTGCCCGGATGGAGCGGGGGCGCCGGCCGCCGTGCCGCTGCCGCCTTGGCTGCCGCCGAACTTGAGCGACAATGCGATGATCGCGAACCGCAGCCGCGAGACGACGCTAAATTTAGTCTGGCGGAATGAAGCATCTCTGCAGCGGCGGCAGCGGCGGCAGTGGCCGGGACCACCCGGCAGACAGCTGCCAATTGCTGTTGCCATCAGTCTCCATCGAAAGTCGCCCCCGCGCCGCCCCGCGCCGCCCCGCGCCCTCTGGGGGCCGCTAACGCAGTTAGTCGCCTTTTGAACGGCGCGTGACGGCTACGCGCCACGACTTTGCTCTCCAGTGGGAGCAGCTTCAGGGTCGCGACCGCGGGTTCAACACCTGTCAAAGATACTTTTTTATTTCTTTGTGTTGGTCACAGTGCGGTGACCTCTCAAGGGCGTTCTTCGCTGCCACACTGCAAAATAACCCCTGACTAACGCGTTCCTTTTTCTGTTCCAGAATGCCACTCCGACGGGGGCACGGTGTGCAACTGCACGGGGGGCAGCCGCGTGGTGTCGGGTAAGTCAGCAGCCGCGGACGGACAGCGCAAGGGCGGATCCAGGGACGGGCTCTGGGAGGGGGGGGCGCAAAGATTGCCTGTCTGCCAGGGCAAACTGCGACTTGTTGCGACAACCACATCGCCTGCGCCTGTCTGGGAAAGAAGACCCCGCTGGGGCGAAACGCCTCGCGCTCCCAGCAATTTAAGCCCCTTTTTCCACTTCAAAAAGAATCACTTAATACGCCCGTGCATGCTTTCTAACGGGGAGCGTGGCGGCCATTGGCCATCTCGCTCTGACCCTCCCGCACTGATGCCCCTTTTAGCAGCCGCCGCCCCGCCCGCCGGTCGCTCTCCGAGCCGCGACCAAAAATCCACCCTTTCAGAGGCGCCGATACAAAGGCGTGGCGTTTTTACCGCCAAAGGGAAGCTCTAATACGGCTCGAGAGAGAGAGAGAGAGAGAGAGAGAGAGAGAGAGAGAGAGAGAGAGAGAGAGAGAGAGAGAGAGGAGCGGCAGATGGAGGGAGATGGAGGACGAGCAGGCGCGGGGTATCGCAGTGCCACTGACAGGTGGCCGTGCCTCCACATACTCGTGCACTCTCACACACACACACACGCACGGACCGATGGCTTTTCGCTCCACGATTCGCTGGCCTGCCTTACAGCGCCCCGAGCCCCACTCCGTAATGCAATTCATGAGCCCCCGGCCCCCCCTTCCCGGGTGCAGCCCCGCTGCTACCCCGTCCGCTTCCCGGCCAGGCCGGCCCAGCCCGGCCCAGCCCGCCCCAGCCCGCCCCAGCCGCCCAGCCCCAGCCCGCCCCAGCCCGCCCCAGCCCGCCCCAGCCCGCCCCAGCCCGCCCCAGCCCGCCCCAGCCCGCCCCAGCCCGCCCCGCCCGCCCCAGCCCGCCCCAGCCCGCCCCAGCCCGCCCCAGCCCGCCCCAGCCCGCCCCAGCCCGCCCCAGCCCGCCCCAGCCCGCCCCAGCCCGGCCCAGCCCGCCCCAGCCCGCCCCAGTCCGCCCCAGCCCCAGGCCGGCCGGCCGGCCAGCGGGTGTGGCTTAGGGAGGAGGGACCCGGGCCGCTGTTATGCCAAGTCCTTCTCCCTTCGTCCGTCCGTTTTGCGGGGATATGTTTACTGATTTGCATAGTTTAGGACAAAATTATGCCTGCAGTGTCTTAGCCCGGAGCGCGGCGCGCGTGCGGCACGGCACTGCTTGTCCGCTTCCGCTTCCTTATCGGCAAGCTTCCGATTCGCCCTCGAGCGGCAGACTGATTCCGAGGGTCGCTTTCGTCGCTCTGTCGCTCGTATACGGGGCGGCCCATGAGTGCGAGAGGGACAGAGCGACGCGTGCAGGCCTCGCCGCTACAGTGGCTGCAACACGCCGCGCCGCCGTGCTGTCACGTCGGCAGGTGCAGCTGTGCTGCGCCGCAGACCGATTCCGAGAGTCGCTGTCATCGCTCTGTCCCTCTCGCACTCGAGGGCCGCCCCGTGTCGGTGCGAGAGGGACAGAGCGATGACAGCGACTCTCGGAATCAGTCGGCTGTCGGCGTCAACGACCACAATGCTGCATCAGAGCCGCACCGTGACAGCATGGCCTAAAGAGAGAGGGAGGGGGGTCTACTGCGGAGGCACAGGCAGCGACAAGGCGTGTTGCGTGTGCCTGCGTGTGTTCGGTTCCGTACGTGTGCGAGCGCGGCACGCGCTCACGATACGAGCCGCGTTATCGCACACGAACACACACACACACACACACACACACACACACACACACACACACACACACACACAGCGACATGCGCTCCAAGCTCATCCCATTAAGGACAGGTCATTTGCTGGAGTCATTAGGCGTGCGATAACCTGCCAATGAAGGCACGGCTCCGTTGTCCTGCCTGTCTGCCCGCCCGTCTGTCGGCCTGTCTGCCTGTCTGCCTGTCTGTCCGACTGTACCACTGCGAAAGGTCAGTGTCCCTGCCGCCGAGGCGCCGAGGCCTTGGCTCACCTCGCCACGCCCTGTCGATCATTTTTGCCGCGCGGGTCCCGGGGGCCGAAGGGGGCAGTGACGAAGCACAGCCGTCACCGCGAGGGGCCTTTGCCGTGAAGCGGGCCGCACCGCCCGGCACCGCCCCGCACCGCTGCATCAGATGGCCTGTCCCGCGCTGTGCCGCGCTGTGCAGCGCGCTGCAGGTCTGGCCGCTGATTTGGCCCGACGAGCGTGACCAGCATGAGGTGCCTACACCGTTGTACCGCGCACACCGCGCACACCGCGCTCCGTGCGCGCGTCTTGCGCGTCCCCGCGAGGCTTGGTATAGGCCATGCAGGCATTCCTGGCGTCCTGCGGGGCGGGGCGGGGCCCTCCTGGCTGCTGCAGCCTTTGAGCTTGAACCAGGCGCACTCTGCGGGTGGCGCGCGAGGCTCCACGTCCTGCCGCAGACTGCTGCCGAGAGTCATCGCTCTGTCTCTCTCGCACCTTCACGCGACGCCTCATGAGTGGGACGGAGACATAAGGACGAAAGCGACTCTCGGAATGACGTCTCCAGGGCGCCGCTGCTGATGAGCGTCTTGGCCGCGTCGCCGCGTCGCGCTTCGCGTGCTGCCGGGGACCGCAGACTGAGTCCGAGAGTCGTTTTCGTCGCTCTGTCTCCGTCGCACTCAAGGGGCGTCCGTGCAGGTGCGAGAGAGACAGCGCGACGAAAGCGACTCTCGGAATCAGTCTGCCGGGCACGGGGACTCCAGGTTCGGCGTCCTCGGTGCTCTGCCTGTTAGCAGCACGGCAAAACAAGATTAAGGGCAACGGGGCCGCGCGGTGAGGAGGTCCTTTGGCATATGGGCGGCATCCTGAGAGGGAGGCTAGCTCGACCCCGCGGTCATTTGTTTGCGTTAGCCGTGACGCCTCTCCCTCTCTCTCTCTCTCTCTCTCCCTCTCTCTCCCTCTCTCTCCCTCTCTCTGTCTCGCTCTCTCTTTCTGAGAGGCCGCCTGGAATTTTAGGCTGGCGGTGCGTGGCGCGGGGGCGTGGTGGCCGGCCTGCCCGGCGTGCCCGGCGTGGCTCAGTGGCTTCTAATGGGGTCCTCGGCCCCGACGTGCCCGACGTGCCCGACCTACGCCACTGCAAGCACTGTGCGCCACGCCGGCCCGCACTGTCGCCACACTGTCAAGCTTGGCGCCACAGCTTGGCGTCAAAGCTGCGCGTCGAAGCTTGGCGTCGGGCGTGACGGCGTGACGCGCGCGGTTCGCCCAGGTGACGCGGCGCGGCACGAATCGACCTGAGCAGCGAGCGGAGCAGCGGAGCAGCGGAGCGCACTCCAGCTTTCACTTCGGCGTGGTGCTGCCCTTTTTTGCGGCCGTGGCACTGCAGTGTGCTGGCAGTGGTGTCTCTCTGCGCGAGAACATCGACGGATGGACACGGAGATAAAGTCGTCCGCTGTTCGACTGCCTGCTTGTGTTGTTGGCAGAAACGCGTGCTTTGTCGGAGGAGGACGCGCGTTGTATGCCAAGTTTGCATTTCTAGAACGGTTTTTTTTTTTTTTTTTTTTTTTTGAGTCACCTGATTGCTGTGGTCACTCGCGAGCAGCCGTCTCTAGATTGGTCTCGCTCTCGCTGAATGAAACGACCACGGTCACCCCGCCCCGCCCCGCCCCCTTCCCCATTACCCCCACCCCGACCCAGTGCGGTGCCGTGGCGGTGCCGTCAGTCAGTGTCACCGCTTTGCTGCGAGCTGCCCTGCGCTCCACATTACTGCACACGGCGTGGCGGGGCGGGGCGGGGCGCGCCAACCGCAACGCACCGGCGGCACATCGGCCCCCGACCTGCCCCCCTCGAAATGGCGCTCCTGGGAAGGGAGGGGGGAGGGTGCCGGCGCGGTGCCGGTCTGGCGGTCATGATGACGGTGTTGCGGGGCGTGGCGGGGCGTCGCGGGGCAGCGCGCCGTGTGTTTACATTCTTAACTGCCGTTTTGCCGCCGTGCCTCGCGGTGCGTTATGGCCGCTGCACTCTGCAGAGCTCTTTATTTTGGACACGGTTTTATGTACTTTGTTTTGAAACTCGCATTGAAAGGTTCGTCGCAGGTGGATCACATTGTTTTAAAACTCCCATCGTTGGAAGGTCCGCCGCAGGTGCAGTGTGCGTTCTCTCTCCGGCCTGACCGCGGTGCTCTGGTGTTGCAGACCGATCCCGGTACCTGGCCGAAGTGCGGCTGGCGGGCCCCGCCGACCCGGACGCGGACCCGCACTACAGGGAGAACCTCAACCGGACCTTCACCCGCAACGTGAGTACAGAGTACACACTGTCAAACTTGCAGCCGACCCTGCCTGCTTCCGGCCCCGCCCAAGCCGACCCAAGGCCGATCCAAGGCCGTCACGGTCTGCACAGGGCGCGCCCGCCGACGGCGGCATAGGCCACCTTTCGTACACGCGTCGCTCGGTGGCGCTGTCTCTCTCGCACTCGTGGGCCGTCCTGCGGGGATGCAAGGGAGACAGAGCGACCAGGGCGCAGCCTCCCTGGGCGCGCGTACCGACGACCCGACACGGCCCGACACGGCGCGGCTCGAGGCGCGAGTCGCGCGAAAATTCAAATTAGACGCAACTTTCATTTTCTGCTCTCGGCGACACGGGATTCGTTTTGGCCGCCTTCCGGCCACTTTTTACTTGGCGGGTCACCGGCTGTGCCTTCGGCTGTGCCTTCGGCTGTGCCTTCGGCTGTGCCTTCGGCTGTGCCTCTGCCGGTGGCTTCGGCCTGGCCGCCCTCCGGAGCCCTGCCGTCACTTTTGTTCATGTACGGATCTAGTTATGGCGGTGGTGCGACGCGACGCGACATGCTGAGTGCAACGCGACGCTGCGGGCCCCTGGGGGCGCGGTCCCGGTGGGGCGCCCCACCCCACCCCACCCCACCCCGGCCACGCCACGGCAGCGCAGGTCGGGCGGGAAGAAGAGGAGGGGGGAAAGGGACTGGAAATGACGAAACTTTAAAAACAAGAAACTCCGTTAAGGAGCTCGGGCGTCCAAATTATTTTGCGCTATTTTATATAAACGAGAATGGAAAGTGGGGACTGACTGCGCACCGCGTCTCGCTGGCTGGCTCGCCGATTCGCGAGGGAAAGAAGAGGGTGCTGCCGCGCCGTGTGATTCGCAGTGCCTCATCCGAGTTTCTGCCGCGGCCTCACTGCAGCCTCGCAGCCCCACGCAGCCCCCCACGCACTCCACTGCTAGTTCCAGGCCGTGCGTGGCGCCAGCAGATAACTCACCGTCAGGAAGTAGATTTGGTCCCGCTTATTTATTTAGCGGCTGTGTGTTCAAATGAGCGGGCGGGCGGTGCGGCCAGACAGACGGACAGACAGGCAGGCCGCCTCGCTGGCTGCTGATGGCGCGGAACGCCGCACGCGGTGTCTCCGTTCCGTCCGTTCCGTCTCTGCGTCCGTGCGAGCACTGCGGTGCGGAAGCACGCGTAGCAGCACGCGTAGCAGCACGCGTAGCAGCACGCGGAGCAGCACGCGGAGCAGCACGCTTCCCCGGCAGGGGCGCCGCCGCGACGCCGCCGAGCAAGAAGCAGAGTCGTTGCGACAGTCCGTCCGTTTTCGTCGCTCTGTCTCCCTCGCACCTGCGCGGGTCGCTCGCGAGTGCGAGAGAGACAGAGCGACTGTCGCATTCAGTGTCCTCGCTGCGAGCCCCGTCGCCGGCGGGCACGGCACGCCAAGGCACGGTGTAGGGCTGAGTACGGACGAATGCCATGCCGCCTCGCCGCTGTGAGGCGTGATCCCACTGCGCGTTTGACAGGTTAGGGCGCCGTGCTGCGGTGGGGCCGTGCAGGGACCTGGCCCCACCGGTGGCTCCTTCTTTGCCTCTAAACTTTTGGTTTTACTCTCCCCCTCTCTCTCTCTCTCCCTCTTTCCTGTCACACACTTCCTCCCGCATAAAGGGTTAATTTTTTCCCTCCGAGGCGGACAGCGGAAGCCAGCGGGTAATGGGTGTGGATGGCGAGGATGAAGTTTCACCAGCTTCACCTTTTTCAGTTTTCAGCCCCTTTTCTCCATCAAGGGGGTCGGGTCGGCATGGTGGCCGCGACGGGGGACCGCGTCCACTGCCTCGCCTTGCCCCTCACAGATCCCACGTCGACAAGTGAGAGAGAGAGAGGAGAGAGAGAGAGAGAGAGAGAGAGAGAGAGAGAGAGAGAGAGAGAGAGAGAGAGAGCTGGCGGCTGGTTTTTAAACGGTTTCCCGCACACAGCCTTGCGTAACCCGGCCTTGGGCGGGCAGAGGCAAAAGATCGCTTCGTTTCGGCAGCACTTTAGGCGTGAATTATAAATTGGGCGACACGCGGAGCTACGCAGCGAGCGGAAGGCGGGGATGCTGCAGCACGGTCCGAGCACGCGCACACACACGCACGCGTACTCGCACACACACGCACGTACTCGCGCGCACACACACACACGTTCAAACGCCCCCTTTCTTTTTCGCTTTGCGGCCCCGGGCGGCCCTTGGCGCTGAGAGGGTCCGACTGGTCGGAACGCGGTGAAATATGTAGTGCATTAACCGCGGCTGGGCTCCCCGTGAAGGACACCGAGGCTACGGCTCACCTGAATGAAGACGAGTGGTCCACTCATCACCCAATGGGCGGCCGGGACGCTCTCGCGCTCGCGGGGGCCGCGTCGTCGGCGTGCTCCATCCTTGCGAATTATTCTTCGCGCCTCGCCCCCCGGTTGGCACACTGGCAGCGAAGCGGCGCGGCGGCGGGGCGGCTCCAAAGTGCGTTAGCGACTTGCGAGATTGGAACAGCGCTGCGTTGCGTGTGACGGCGTGACTGCGTGACGGCGTCACCGGGACCGCCGCGGCGCACCCGCTCGACGGGCACGTTTTCCCAGTGGCGACGTGGACGCCGTGCTCCCCCTCGCCCCCCGGACGGCCTCCGCCCTCGGCGTCGTAATTTAGAGCGAACGGGCACGCGTCTTGCGACTCGGTATGTGTGCCCGGCTTTTAATTAATGTGTGTCGCTGCAAAAAGCGCGCGCGAAATTTGAATAAAACAGCAGCGCTCCGCCTTCCTTCGCCTCGCCTTATTTCGGGGCGGCCGCCCGGAAGGGAACACAACCCGACGCTCCTGGCTGGCCGGGCCGGGCCGGGCCGGGCCTTGGCTGGGCCCGGCTAAAAATTTCTTGTTAAGCGAAATCAGGGAGGCGGGGAACGAGCCGCGACGCGCCGTCACGCGGATTCGGGCGCCGCCGCGCCGCCAGCGGGCTGACTCCGAGAGCCGCCAGCGGGCTGACTCCGAGGGTCTTCTCTGTCCCCCTCGCACCTCCAAGGCGTGCCCCGTGAGTGCGAGAGGGACCGAGACGACTCAGTCTGCAGGCGCCGCGCCGCCGCGCTGCGTCACGCGGGGATCAGGCCGTCGCCTTGATAAAAATTTAATGCGGAACGGAAATTTTGCGTGCGGCGGCGTAGCGACGCCTCTGTCGTTCCTTGCGGGCCCGGCAGGCCTCGCCCTCCCCGCCGTGCTCCCCTCCCGGCCGTCTTCGCGCGGAGGCAGCGGCAGCGGCAGGGGCTTTGAGCGGCCTGGGATGTGCTCGGTGTGTACGCATGGTGTACGGGCCGCACGCACGGTGCGTCCCGGGTCTTCGTCGCGCTGCACGTTGCGCCGTCTCCCTCGCGTCCTTCGAGACGCCCCAAACTGCGAGAGGGAGCGCGACTTTGAGAGCGAGCCTGCCGCGCGTCCACGTGCGCCACACTGTTCAAAAGAGAATCCCCCCGGTCGTGTTTTCTGCATGTTTCCGCGCCGCTTGCGTCCCCGTTTTTGCGTCAGTTTTTCCCCCTTTGTAATCGAGTCAGGGCAATTGAGTCTGCAGTGTTTGTTGAGGTCTCGCCTCGGCCCCGGAATATACGTGTACACACACCCAGTCCGACGAACTCGGAGTGTCTCCCCGCTGGGCGGGGCGGGGCGGGGCGGGCCGGGCCGGGGTTGACGCATCAAGAAGTTGCTGCGAAGTTGGGGCCGAATTCCCTTGCCCTCCCCCACCCCCGCCGCGACGCCGTGCGCGCTGGACGCAAGCGGGACGCAAGACAAGGCAGGTCTGTTTAAAGAGGCCCCGCCCCGCCCCGCCCCGCCCCGCCCTGGTTTCAAGGGACGCCCACCGTAAAGCCGTGCAGGTGGGCTCGGGTGGGCCGAGGCTGGCCGAGGTGGATAGCTCTGGCTTTTGATGTTTGGCTTCCCATCAGGCGCTTCTTGCTGTCCCGCGGGAGCCGTGCGGCAGCTTGGTCGCGAACAGTGTCTTGGCCGCTCTGTCTCACTCGCACCTGCAGTGCGCCCCGGAAGGGTGCGACAGAGACGGAGCGACTCCGCGAGGCTCCGCGCACGGCCCTCAGTCGATGCAGGGAAGCCCCCGACTAAGCCGCCTGTAGGTCGGCCTGTAGGCACGGAACTAACAAACAAGTGTTGCATCAAACTTTTAGGCACATTAAAAAATCGGGCGTACTCGGGCACGGCCCCACGCTGGGCTGGGCTGAGCTGTGCAGACCCTCCTCCCGCGTCGGCCTCGGCGAGGTTCAGACACGCCTGCAGACTGATTCCGAGAGTCGTTTTCGTCGCTCTGTCTCTCTCGCACCCACACAGGACGTCGTATGAGTGCGAGAAAGACGGAGCGACAAAAACGACTCGGGATCAGTCTGCCGGGCCGGGCGTGCTTCTTGGGGTCGCGGCGTCGGCCAGACTCGACTCGGCCCGGCCCCGCCCCGTAGGCATGAATTTTGCACTGGCCAGTGGAGGGTCTGTAATGACATTGCGGCCGAGTCGGTTAGTGGTCAGGGTGAGTGGCCCACTTCCCCGCAGACCGTCGTCGCTCTGTCTCTCTCGCACTCATGGGGCGTCCCGTGGGGCCGCAGGGGTGCGAGAGAGACGGCGCGACGAGACGCCGCTGCAGCTCCACGAGGAGCACGACCTGGAAGGGCACCGCGGGCTGCTCTCGCCTCCGGCCTCGCGGAGTCGCGGCCTGATTATCCAGCCCGCGAGGCGCGTGCGTCGTGCGTGCAGCCTGCTACAGGCTGGGCCGAGAGAGGCGGAACCGTGAAACGCTGCGCCGAATCGCACTGAGGCACTGTGCGCTTTCTGAAGTTGGTTTGCCTCTGCCAAAGCGAAAATAATCTCCGCGCGGCAAAATACCCCTCTCGCCTCGGCGCCGCGGAATACGTGTGCGAGCACCCACTCCTTGGCGCGGCGCCGCTTTTGAGTCGGGAGGCGAGGGAGGGGAGGGTGGCTGCTGGACAAAAGGTGTTGCCCTGCACCGC